GCTTGTAATTCTCTCTACCCCTCTGCCTGCCACTGAACTGCTACAAACATGCCCTACAGCAAATTTATTGAATTCTCGCACAGCAGCAGCAGCCAGCAAAGCAACTTAATTTTCAAGTGAAACTTTGTTAATGTTCGCCATGTGCTCCAAAAAAGTGGCTCACAGACACTTTCAAGTGCCAGCGGCCAAAAACCAGATCCGAACCACCGAAAACTACAAAAATGTACAGCAAGAAGCGTGGGTTTCGTTTATGTTTGCGCATAGGGCAGGGCAACTGTTGAGAATTTAACTTATTTTATATGTATTTGACAGAATTATGTTATGATTGGCTGCAAGAAGTTACAACTTTCAATTTAGTTATTGTAGTTGTTTACCATAACACCAAAAATAATTTTTAAAAATGAAAAAAAATCTTGTCAGAAGTGGGATTCGAACCCACGCCTACAGAGTAGACTGCGACCTGAACGCAGCGCCTTAGACCACTCGGCCATCCTGACTGTTGATACACTTGCGTCACATACGCCACACAAGCAAATCAGCGAAAAAGCAATAACAAAAACAATCAATTAGAACCTATTCATATACGCTGACTGATGACTGAGTCATGGAGAAAAGCTTAAAGCTTTTCAAGACTTTTTAGAGTGAGCCAATTGTTTATTTGAGAACGTGTAATACAATGGGCACTCGCAAATGAAAAAATTAATTTGATAATCAAAAAAAACTATCTTTTGGCAAAATAAAATTTCACTAGATACAATAATTTGAATGACTATTAGAATTTATATATATGTATATATATATTGTTAAGCTTGGCTTTAAGAGATAAATTGCAGTTTGTAAAAATGTTCTTGTGTTCTTGGCTTACAACTTTCCAGAGACTACTGTATCAAATGCGTTGATGCCAATAAGCGATTTAAAGACTTATCACAGTGAGAAAAAAAAACTTGCTCAATTGTCGACTTTAAATGCCTTTTGCTAGCATAAATAAAACTACAATATAAAGGGCGGGCGCAGCGGGCCGGCTGCATGCGAGTGAGACGGCAAATCAAAGTCAGACGCGCAACCAAATGGGGAAACATTGTTCTAAAACAATGAAAATACATGGTAAAAGAGGAGCCCAGGGCTCAGAGCTGGAACCCAACTGAGCGCCCGAAAGCTAACCAACGACATGCAATAAAAGGCAAAAGTGGAATATGTGCCACAGCGCTGAACAGATGCCAACGACCAGCACATATAACAGAGCCCAAACAACCCCTTACCTCTGTACCGCCCTCCCCCTGCCCCTTTCACAACCATCACTAGAGAGTCCACTTGAAACTTTTGCGCTATTGTGCCCCCAAGCGTCATGTACTGCAATTTTTTTTTCTACTACTAACATCAGCTTTTCTGTAGACTTTTTATGTTTCGGGCTCAGTGAATCTTGGCGAGGCACCAGTTCTGTTGGACACGCCCACAACACAAAGGCCTCAAAAAAAAAAAAAAAAAAAACGATCTGTATATATATTTTTATATATCTGGAGCACATGCTGAAAAATGAAAAGCTGTAAAAAAGTTTTGAAATATAATTGCTGCTGCTTCTATTGTAAACTCTATTAAATTTATAAAGTGGGTAAAAATTGTTGTTCTGTTATTGTTTTTTGATTTTATTTTTTCTTTTCCTTTGGCTCGTTTGAAGCATTGATTAATAGTTTTATTGTATTCATGTAGAGGCCATTAATTTTACGTTTTTAATAAAAGAGCACCACTCAATTAAGTATATGGGTCGGGTCACACACACACAAAAACACATTTTGCTTAAAGTGCAAAAGCTCGTGCATTTTATATATGGGCCTATAACAATAAAAACCAGTTTATTAAGCCGACTTTAGTTGGTCAATTGACGGCTTTTACGCAAACATTTTACGGGCATTTAAATTTTGAAAATATGTTATATTGAAAGAATTAAGCAGCTTTCTAAGTGCATAAAAGAGGCTTAATTCCTATATATTGTAATCAATTATTTATTAGAATTGGAAGTGAAACTGTTGCCAGTTAAAATATGAATAATATGTTTTAGTTAAATACTTTACTGTATCTGATAGGAAAATATATAAAGTCCAAAAACTAGAAATGTCTGAGCTACAAACATTTAATATTTAATCGAGTTAATGGTTTATCGCATATTTTACTTGTATTAAGATTTAATCATTTGTTAAACACAAACTACAAATGACTCAGCTCTAAAAATTAAAACTTTTTAAAACTATGCTGATAATCTGGACATAAACTATGAGCTTATCAGCCAGAATAATAATTTCTATGTGACACGCTGTCTGGCGACTTTGCAAGGTCAATGGTTAGATTAGAAGTCATTTATTTAAACGCAGCTGCCTTTGATGTGCCCACATTTTCCAATTCTCAATTTAGGAAAATTTCCCCAGTTACTAGGGCCATCAAAATAAAAGTTGCCCAAAAATGAGGCGTCAAAATGTCTCTAAGGCCCGAACCTGAGTGGAATACTTAAAAACCTGGCAAAGGCGGGTAGCAAGCCATTGGCGAAATGAAAACCCGAAACATGGGAAATGCGATAGCATTTTCATAATTTCGCCATTTGGAAAATATCTCACGCATTTGCAATTATGTGCGGATTTCTCATTTCATTTCATTTCTTCATTTCATTTCATTTACGTTGCGGCCTCGTGGCTTTCGACCCAAGCGAGAAACCGCAGTTGGTTACAACAACCAGATATATAATTTTTTTTGCATTTTGTTGTTATTGTTGCTGCGCTTTTCCTCCTGTTTGCTTGCAGTTGTTCTGCTGCACATTTATGCGCAGCCACATTTCAAAAGCAATAAATTTTGCAGCTTTGCGCTGCAACAAAAAACAAAGAAAAATACAGAAAAAAGAACGAGTAGAAATTGTCGAAGAAAACTTTGCTCATTTGCGCGATTTTGATTTTTTCTACCAACGCAGGCAAGCTAAAATAAATTAAGGAATTGCACACAAAACAACAAATTCAAAGTATGGCAAACTTTTCATTGCTGGGGTGAGCGCTAACGCCCAAGTAAAAACATTCAATATTTTAATAAAAAATAAACTTTTTTAGCAAAACATTGCGCATACTATATAAACGCCAGAAGATGCAGATTTTTGGTAGCCAACTAAAAAATACCCTGTGCGAGGGGAATATATCAATTCCAAATTCATTTGTAAACTTTTTTTTTACAAATATTCAATATTTGAACAAGATATATATTTCTTTCTTTTTTAACAGTTGCGTATTTTTACATTATATATTTTTATAGTGCACAACAAATTATTCCATGTGATTTTATAGAAAAAATTTAATTAATATTATAATACAGGCGACACTATCTTTCATTTATCAAACGATCAAAAACCTTATCTTTTTTTATATTATGTATTTAACAAATAAGAAAAATAGGTAAAATCTTGCCTTTAAAATGATATACCCTTCTGACTGACTAACGAGCTTCGTAAAATACTTTATGCAATTTCGTTTTGTGAAAAAAATATATATATTTCACACGCTTGTTTCTGCAGCGAAAAATTAGTTGCTCTGTTTTGCTTCATCTCTTTTTATAGTGTTTTTTTTCCTAAGGTACCGCGCTCTGTACCCAAACCTCACCCCTCCCGGACGCAATGCTATTATTTTATCCATTGAATTGTGCAAGCTGTGCAATTTGCAGCATATTCCCCCGATATGAAAATTCCTCTCGCGTCTTGCCATGAAAATTAATTGCGCGTTTATTTGTCAAAAGACTTCCTTACAACTTACTGAGTTTTGTTTCGAGCTTGGTTTTTTTTTCATTCGCTTTACCTTACCTTGGAATTTATATTTTTAATTTAATGTATGTATAATTTCAGAAAAATAATATAAGGCATGCGCCAGATGTGCTTATTTGAACACAATTTCAATTAATATGTTTAGCTATATTACACATATGACAACTGTCAAATGTTTAAAAAATGGTTTTAATATAAAAAAAACTGACCCAAAAATTTCATTTAAATAAATTAAAAGGCAATTATTTTTAAAAATTATTATTAATGGTGCAATGTCATTTAATATTGTTAATATTTGCACATCTTTTGCAATTTTGTTCAACTGTTACAATATTTTAATTATTTATTATGCCCTTTTAAAATGGATTACTTGCTTGCATTAATTTATATGATTTTCTGATATATTTACACTTTAGTCCAGCTGAATAAAAATTGTCAGGGGGGTCATGGTAAAATGCAACCTGTGGCATATACATTTGAACATAACATCAAACGCTTTAGTCCACATAATTAATTGGTTTCGATAAAATATCTTAATATACTAATCATTTTGAAAGATTCTACTAGAACTAAGTGATGTGTATCATACTAAAAATACTTAGTTCCGACTTTTCAGGTGATGAACTAAGTGGAATGTAAGTGTACGTTGCGTTGTAGCCTTAAATGCGTGTGTAGCATTATTATAATTATCAAATATAATCGCATTGCAAAAAAGAAAAGCAAAAGTAGAAAGTGTCGAAGATCCCCAGAAATGTATGGATTATCAACGCGCAGCGTCTGAAAGTCGTCGAGTGTCAAATTCATAAATGCTATAGATCATGGAGAACGAAATGCTGCAGTCCGCATAGCGATTACACAACACTGATGTTGACTGCGGCAGCACTGCGGAGCACTATGCAATTGAGCTGCCGCTTGGCTTATCTCACCTGATCCAGCAGCGTGCGATCCAAGGCCAGGGAAGTTGAGCTGGTGATGAGCTGGGCACCTATGCGGCAACTGATAAGTGCGGATCGAATTGCACATAATTGGTGAATTAAATGATGATGTTGGCTATTTTTGGCTGTTGTGCCAAGTGTCTGATACTGATATGGTGCAATGCCGGACATGGTTGGGGTATAAAATCAGCAGCTGCAGCATAGTGAAAGCAACAGTCTTTAGGTGTTTGGAGCTAAAGCATACCAAAGCCGGAGCAGTAAGAGCAAACGCATCAAGGATGAAACTGACATTGGTCCTTCTAGCCCTGGTGGGCTGTGTGGCCGCATTCAGCGTGCCCACCTCGACAAAGGTGAAGATCGCCGATCAAGAATTTTTGCAAAAGCAAAAGTTCTTCTTTGAGATTGTCTACCGCGTGGAGGATCCACTACTGTTCGAGGAATGGATCAAGTTGGGACAAAAATTGGTCGTTGACAAGTCGCTATACACCGTGAGTATTATATGAGCTGAAATAATGGGCTAATCCCTCTAACGCTGTGCTTCCGGCAGAACTTCGACTTCTATATGGAGAAATTCTGGGAGTCTTACAAGCTGGGCGCCTTGCTGCCTAAGGGTGAATTCTTCGGTGCTCTGGTGAAGACCCATCACAAGCAGGCCTGGGGTCTGTTCAACTTCTTCTACTACGCCAAGGACTGGGAAACCTTCTCTCAGAATGTCGCCTGGGCTCGCATCCATGTGAACGAGGGCATGTTTATCTATGCTTTGACCCTGGCTGTTATCCACAAGCCCGAGTTCGAAGGCTTCATACTGCCCCAGATCTATGAGATCTTCCCTCAGTACTTCTTCAACAGCAAATTCGTGTACGAGGCCGAGAAGTTCGACTATGATGTGTTCAGCAAGTATATCATGTACGAAAAGGAATACAAGGACATTCTGTACAAGGACATTAGCGAGTTCAGCGACAACTTCTACTTCTACACCAAGGACTGGAAGACCTGGCAGTGGTGGAAGATGATGGGTCTGGGCGAGCACTGGCACTTCGAGGACAAGTACTTCCTGCGCGAGAACATAGCTCAGTACAACAAGGAACCGAAATACGCCGACATCATTAAGGATGTGCAAAAGTTCTATATGCCTGTCGACTATACCCGCGACATTGACTTCTTCAACGCTGAGAGCAAGCTGAGCTACTTCACCGAGGATTTGGGCTGGAACTCGTACTGGTACTACCTGAACTTGGACTATGCTTTCTTCTTGGATGGCAAGCAATTCGGTCTGGACAAGGATCGTCGCGGCGAATTCTGGATCTACAATGTACAACAGATCTTGGCTCGTTACTACCAGGAGCGTTTGGCCAACGGCTTCGGCGAAATTCCTGAATTCTTCTGGTACAAACAGGTCGAATATGGCTACGATCCTCAGCTGATCTACTACAACGGTGTTGGCTACAGCTACCGCAAGAATTACTTCGAGTACCAGACCTACGGCAAATTCGACATTCTCTACCAGATCCAGAACTTCTTCGACCGCATCTACGATGTGCTGGACACCGGCTACTACAAGACCGCCGATGGCGTTGTCATCGATCTCCACAAGCCCGAGTCTATCAAGTTCATTGGCAACTATCTGCAGGGTAATGTTGATACCTACGACAAGTACTTCTTCAACTACTGGTACGTGCTGTCGCATATGTACTTCGCCGATGTTGACTACTATGACTTCGAGGTGTTCCCCAATGTGTTCCTCAACTTCGAGACCATGCTGCGTGATCCCTTCTTCTACTCCTTCTACAAGAAGTTCACCGATGTCTTCTACAAATTCAAGTTCTTCCTGGGACCCTACACAAAGAAGGATCTGTACTATGAGGGCATCACCATCAAGGATGTGAGCGTTAGCAAGCTGACCACCTACTTCGACTTTGTGGACTTCGATGTTACCAATCTGCTCAATGACAAGATGACCTTTGTCGATGGCAAGTTCGTCTGGGACAAGACTCTTTTGGCCCGTCAGGCCCGCCTCAACCACAAGCCTTTCAACTTCGAGTTCACGATCGATTCAGCCAAGGAGCAGAAGGGTGTTGTGCGCGTCTTCTTGGGACCCAAATTCGACGAGTTTGGTCGCGTCATCCCACTGAAGTACAACAGCCAGAACTTTGTTCAGATCGACAGCTTTGTCTATCCCTTCGTTGCCGGCCAGAACACCATCAAGCGCAGCTCCAAGGAGTTCACCTACACCGCTGAGGATCGCGCCACCTACACTGAACTCTACAAGTACGTCCAGCTGGCCAGCGAAGGCAAATACAAATTCCCATTGGACATTAGTGAGCCGCACAACGCCTTCCCCGATCGTCTGGTGCTGCCACGCGGTTGGGAGCAGGGCTTGCCCATGCAGTTCTACTTCTTTGTCTCGCCCTACACCGAGGATTATGAACAATTCTCCAACTTCGACTACGCCTACCAGGCTGGCGTTGGCTCCGGCACCCGCTTTGTGGACAGCAAACCATTCGGCTATCCCTTCGATCGCTCTGTCGATGAGTACAGCTTCTTCGTGCCCAACGGTTACTTCAAGGACGTCAAGATCTACTATGTCGACACCTTTGCCAAGTACTTCGAGAAGAAGTATGAGAACTACGGCGTGTTCGACTACTCCGTGGAGTACTAGACGAAGCTATTCGATTTAGCTCTTAATTAATTTCTAATGTTTCTAATGCAATTCCAAAAAATCAAACCAAAAAAAAAAAAACTCAGAAAACCAAGAAGAACAACGAAACGATGAAGACCAAAGCTTAAAATAAAGAAACAAAAATTAAACAAATTCAACATTGAGTTCTTTTTTGATAGATATTTTTTAACCTTTCAGCAAACATACATATAAATAAAAATATACAATAAATATTGTATATTATAATATTTCAAAGATCAAAAATATATCAATTGGAATAATAAGCAAAATTAATTCCCAATATAAAAGTTGATCATTAAATAGCCCAGCAGACATAAGGATTTACGATTATAAAAGTTGATAAAAGAGTAGTAGTAGTAGTTTTTGTAAAATTTTGATCCTACCAAGAGATTTTCGACTCGATATTGGGGGAATAATTAACAAGAAAAATGACAGCCGAACGGGTCGACTAGATCCTGAATTCATATGCTTTATTCGGTCAGAGATCTCCATTATAAAATATCATAGATTTCGAGACGAAAGGATAAGCTTATGAAATAATTCCTATAATATTTTTATACTTTATAGACAATATAACGAATGTGCAACGAATTCAATGGATAACATCAAATGGATGCCGTAAATGCAGTTCGATTCTGGCTTGTTGCACAAAAGCTTTTTCAGGTTGACAAGCAAAGGCGCGACCACTTGATCCTGTGGCAATCCTTTCCAAATGTCATCTCCTTGGCACTCGTTCCGATTGTCATACGCTGCAGCGGCAGCCGGTTAATGTGTCATTCGTACCGCAAACTGTGGCAACGTTGCACTGATTGCATTCGAATTGAAATCAACCGCAAAAACTAATAATAAAGTTCAAATGTTAAATGCGGCTGATCGGAAGGGCGCCGTTCAAACGCAGTACACAGCACAGCGCAGTAACCTGCGCGCCAGCCTCCACCCCAAAGGCAGTTTGATAGCAATGCGGGTGCGTTACCCGATACACACGCACACACACACACAGGCACACACACACTAGCGATTGCCCATTGCGTTTGCTATGTAAATGAAGTTATGCTCTGCGGCTTTGATGTGGCGCCCTATTGCCGCCCATTTTCACAATTGAATCATGAGAGAGACACAAGTATGCCCCATTGCCAAAGCGTTATCTGAGCCGATGTGGCAACCTGATTTGGTAACGATAATTTACAGTTATGCCCAGCGCTGCCAGCCCGCGATTATTGCTGTCTATCGCATCTGCATATCCAGTCGAATTTGAATTCGCATTCGCATTTGCATTTTCAGTTGCAAGCTAGCAGCTGATTACAGATTGCACATTTGGATTTAGGTTCGAATTGGGGTTGGGGTTGGGGTACGTATTCGGGTACGGGGTTCGGTAGTTGGCGGCGAATCCTCTTTGGTCATGAGCCTAATGTTGTTTGCTGTATTCCGAGCGAGTAGTGCAATTTATTACCGACCATCTATTTGGAAATTAGGGCCGGCAGATTGAACGGCATGTGGACAGCAATATGGGGCTAAAAAGTGAACTGTTAAGGGAAATTGGATTTAAAATAAAAACTTATGCTCAAACGATTGTTTAATTAAGTTCAGTTCATTGTCTGCCACCAAGTAAAATGGGAGAAAGCGTTAATATGTACTTTAAATGTATTCAATGTTTTATAGCCTTAGCCCATTGATTCCTTAACCCAAGTAAAAAGCTTTATGTTTCGGTTAAATTGAAACTCTTGCTTCCACTCATCAAAGTTTTGTATCAATTTCAGTTTCAATATCATACCTCACATATTTTGCCATCATCCATTAAAGTTCACCAATCAGTTGTCTTTCATTGTTAAAGCTTACAACGCGCCTCAAATTTCAGCTAAATGGCTTTTGTACAAGTGTCCATATTCTGGCATACTACATATATATATATGTATGTATCTGTAACAGTTACTTTAACAAAGAGCTGAAGCTGCAGAGCATGCCATATTTTATGGCCTGTTTCATTCTCATTTTCCCCAGTGAAAATGTTGAGGAGGGGCCTTGGCAACGGGGCTAATCAGAAATAGTTCCCTGATGCCCGCTCAGACAAGCTGGGCAGACTTAGTCGAGCTTATCCAGCTGGGCATGTCTGCTTTGTTGGTCATGTACTTTGTGTCTACAATTTATTTCAGTCATTTTAATTGATATCGTCGCTGGCACCTCCCTCGATACACCCACAGCATGTAGCTGAAGTGCAGCTTCTTGTTATTTGTAACAATTAATATCCAATATCTGAGCGCTGCCATCATTAGTTTTTGCCAGCCCAGCGACCCACTGTCTGTTCTAGATATCTCACTCGCCGACAACTACAAAAACTGATGATATCAATGAACGAACTATAACAAAAGCATGCGCCAGGGCTAAGTACAAAAAGAGTCACAGATGGAGCAAGGCAAAAAAAAAATAAAAAAAAAATGGAAGCGATTCCTTGTTGTTGTTGTTGTTGTTGTTGTTGTTGTTTTGTCAGGCATTGATGCTGCATTTGACAGACCATTTATCATCGCACTAATTGTGTATCATTAAAAAAAGGCGACGCGGCAGGGCGCAGCAGCGCTGATGTTAATCCAAAGGAAAAACAGGCAGGGCCATTGCCGCAGCTCTGCGCCCAACCAGACGCCCTATCGATGAGCCCCAATGTGGCACGGCCTGACTCTGACAATGGCAGCGCCGTTGGCGGCTGCGCTGTCAGCAGCAGCAGCAGCAGCGACAGCGACAGCAGCAGCGACAACAGGCATGACAGTGATAGAAATCTGTGGCAAGCAGATTAAACATGTTCGCAGACAGCGAAAGGAGCGCGGCTGAGTGCAGAGTAAAGGAGTAGACCATAGAGTTGAATTTGTCGCTGCCAGACGGGCGTTGTAAAAGTCAGTCATGATTATCGCCACTTAGCCACCCGCTAAGCAGGGCGGCCCGACAATGGACTTAGCGCTAATGTATCCAGCTAAAATTTACAGCGGAAGACTAAGATACAAAATTGGAAATATTACAAAGAATGCATTAGAGTTGCCGCAAGTCATGTTGGTGAATTGATTTATTTTGAATTTGATAAGCGTGCAGGTCAACAATATGTTGCTTTAAATATATTTTTGCTTTATCTTATATAAATCTACACCCTTTTACTGCATCTTAAACGTAAGCCCGAATATTAAGTAGAGATGAAGGGTACTCTTCTCCTTTATTACTCGATTTCCCCCTCTATTTTCGACCACAAAAAAAACACAGCGAATTATTCATTTGTAACATCGGTAACCTATTCAATTGCTTGTCTCCGTGTCACTTTTTGTCTATCTAGGCTATCATAGGCTCTGCTTCTACTAAAGCTTTGTGGCAATGTTGTCGACAAAGTGAGCAATAGACATAGAAATGGTATCGATAATTTGTAAGCTGTCAAAGTATGTCAACTCCATATCCGGCCCACCGTGCAGACGTACCGGAACGACATAACGACAGACAGTTGATGACTAGAGCAGAGACTAATGAGAAACGTGCGGCGTGAGTTACGATAAATGGCTAACACAGCGAAATCGCCGATAGTACTCGTATATAGCATTTGCAGCCATTGTTGCCAACCACACGCACAAATACATAATAATAATAATAATAATAATAATAATAAAAATTCAAAACCTTTTCATTCGAGCAATGATGATGGATTACGGCTGTCAAGTCTCCATCCCGCCAACTATTGCCCACCCAGTTTCCCCGGCTCCGGCAATTTTCTCTGACTCATTGTGCGCCTGATGAAAATGTTAATGTCGTTGCCAATCAGTTTATTAATCCATCCAGTGTGAGCTAGTTGATTTAGTTTTTCCCTCAACCCAATCACTTTTGCCCATCGGCAGTTGAGAGCATAGTAGAAAATCGAAAACAATTAAGCGAAGCTTTCCACGGCGTTCCGCGTGTTGATGAATCGCAAAATTACCGGACAGCATCTCGGACTGAAACGGAGAGAGAGATGTCTCCCAGAGCTGATAACCTCATGCGCAGGTTGTCACGTAATACATACTAATTAATATTGATATTCGGGTGCAAGCAGTTACGAGACCAACTCTCATTATATTCTAGTTTTCTGCTTAGTAATGACTTTTTGATAGACAAAGTCGGTAATGGAACACCAAAAATCAGCATGAGACACAGTTTTTCCCATTTACACCCCATTGTTATTACAATTTGTCTGTTAAGTTTCATAACTGGAGCACAAAACAAGGCGTTAATTGAAATGTCTGAATTGCAGAGTTGGTCGGCAAAGATTAAGTTCTAACGAGCTAAATGAAAGCAGTTAAAGGCACTGGTTAGATTGACAGGCAGAGGAAGGAATTTGCTTAGGAATTACACACAAAAGTAAAACCTATCGACATCCTATAGGCTGTGCTTATTTTGGAAAAAACAGTTTACCTAACTTCAAATTCTTGCATAAGTACTAAATAAAATGCACAATGCTTAGTTTCGCCAAAATAAAAAAACATTGAGAAATTTATACTATAAGCTATGGAAACATTTCTGGGAAAATTGCCGACAAAATTTTGGTTTGGTTCAAGTTAAGATTTGGCCATTCATTCCTATTAAAGAGGATGCATGAAACTTGCAACAAATGGAAATATTGAAAATGTCAAGAGGTTAATTTGGTAAGTCAAGACATATTTCGAAAACGGAATAATTGAATAATTTTTGGCTATAACCAATTCCCAGAACAGGGCCAAATGACAGCTGTAAAGGAACTTTCCTTTTGTCAGACTGTCATAATTAGATTATTGGCCAGTGTGGCAAATTAAAAAGCCCAGACACGTACGCATGCAGCATTGCCAACAAATGTTGGTAGCCAACAAAACAGGAACAAGAACAACAACTGAAATCCGAGCGAGTTGTTCGGGTCGATTTTAACACGCTCGTAAAATGTTGAAGCAAATGTGCGGCAGGATGCGTGTTCGGTATGCCAAATGCATTTGATGGGTTGGGTGGCT